GACTTGGCGCTTGGGGGGGAGGGGCCCAGCGTGTGAAGGGGCAGAGCCAGGTCCGGGGGAGGGGCAGGTTCCCAGCTGCCTCCTGACACCCCTTCCCCGCCCACAGGCCTTCAACAAGGGGCAGCGCGACGGCCTCCAGGACCTGAGAGAGATTTGGTGGGGTCTTGGGGGTCCCAGGGGGAGCTAGCAAGGCCCTGGGTTTTGGAGGGTGGGGGAGTCCCTGGGGGGCAGGGTTTCAAGAGGCCCCTCCTTCCTTTTGGAGGGAGAGGGCTATTTTTTTTTAGAGACAGGTGCACTTTTTCTATGTATTTTTAAACTAAAGAGCTATATCTAGATATGGGGAAACTGAGTCTAGGCCCCCCATGTTTCTTGGGGTCCCCTCCCCAGTTATGGGGGTCCCTGACAGCCCCCCACAGCCAGGGTGGGTTGTGGGGGGTGAAGAAGTTCGTTGGGGGGACCTTAGGGTTGGTGTCCCTCTAAGGTGCAATTCAGGTGGCCAAAGATTATTGGGGGGGTCCCCCAGACCCCACCCCAGCAACTTGGAAATAGGGGGTGGTCACTGCCAGGCCCCTCCAATAGGAAATAAGGGGCAGACTTCCTTAGCCAGGCCCCCCCAGTTGGAAATAGGGGGTGGAGTCACAGCCGAGCCCCATCCAATTGGAGATAGGGGCAGAGTTACTTAGCCAAGGCCTGCCCCTTCCCATGCTGATCCTGGCTAGAAGAGGTTAATGGGGGGGGAGGGGGGCTTCCTCACTTTGACTGGGGGGTCCTAGGGTAGGGGTGTCAGGGATTGATCTGTCCCAGTGAAGGGGGTGTACTGGGGGCTCCCCAGTGTTCCCTCTTACTACCCTCCTCCCAACTTGGGGTGGGGGGCTGTCTGGGTGGCAAATAAACTGTGGCTCTGATGCCCCTGGGGTGCATCTGTTTCTTGTGTGCGGGGAGGGAGTAAAGGTAACACCCCCATGGGCCCAGTTGGGGGGAGGCAGAATCCCACTCTGAGGCCTATACGATGTGGGGGCTGGGGGCTTTATTGGGTTCCTAAGAGCTTTTGGGATGTGGGGGTAAAGCACACCTGGGGGGCACAGGAAAGGCTGGGAGGTGGGGCTCCAGGGGGGTGGCACTACGGGGTGATGCCCCCATCAGGACACAGCCTGCCCCCCACTCCAGATCCCCACATCCCACTACAGCCAAGAGACCCCCCCCCCCCCCCCCCACCTGGCACCTTCCCAGCATGCACTGCTTCAAGCTCCCCTCTCCCCAACCAGGTGACTGCAGAATCTCCATCCCCACAACATGGGAGCAGCAGGGGCACTGTCTCCCCCCCCCCACCAATTTAGATGTGGGTAATTGCCCCATTCATGGTCTCCATAAAGGCTCCTCCTAACCCATACTGATCCCAGACCAGTAGCTGACTGGGTGGCCATGGGGGAAGGTTACAGGGGCAGAGATGGAGGCACCTGGCAGAGCAGAAGCAGGGAGTGTTTTATTAACCATGTCCATACCACTGTCCCCCCAGGGGTGGGGGGCAGCCGCACACCACCCCAGTACATGCACCATGGATGGGGGATCCCCAGACCCTGGGGCCAGGGGGTGGGATAGGAGCTCTGTGGGTCTCTTGCGGTATCCGTGAGTCTTCCAGGTTGGTAGGGGCCAGCTGTGGGTCCCTCAGCTGGAACTGGGGGGGAAACTATGGGTTCCCCAGACCAGGAGAAGGAGCTGGGCTCTGTGGAAGGCAGAAAATGAGCTCTGTGGCCCCCCAGGCCAAGGGAAGGGGGGTCCCTACTAGGCCTGGTAGGGGATGCGCAGCAGCAGCCCCTCGCCAGGAGCAAGCATGAGCTCTGACAGGCTGAGCTGGTCACCGCGCGGGCGCTGGGGACAGGTGCTGAGCTCCACGGTGCCAGCCGTGAGCAGCTGCAGCTGCAGCGGGTCGCGGGGGGTGGCGGAGGCACGCGCCTCCCCCGGGTTCAGCAACACGAGGAAGCGGGCGCTCTGGTCCCAGCGGCGCAGGTAGCCCCAGGCCCCCGACGTGAGGAGCACTGAATCCAGATCCCCGTGCAGCAGCGAGCGCTCCTTGCCCCGCAGCTCGCTCAGCTCCCGCAGCAGCTGCAGCATCTGCTCCTGGAGGGAGGAAGGGAGGGGGGCAGCAGAGGTGGAGCCTCATGGAGAAGCCCCACCCACTGGCAACCAGGCCCCGCCCCTATGAGAGCCCCCCCCCTAGTGGCCTGCAGCTGGTCTAAATCCACAAGTCCCATGCCCTGGTTTGCCCTGCCCATCCACTGCCCACACCTAGACCCACCCCATAGGCCCCACCCACACTGGTATTGCCCCACAGCCCTGGCCAACTGCAAGCCAGGCCACACCCCCTCTACAGAGGTCCCCTGACCCAGAAGCCCTGCCCATACCTGGTCCCACCCTCAGGCCCACAAGCCCCGCCCCAAACCCTCTGCTGGCTCTCCCCTGATGGTGGGGTGTGAAGCCCCGCCCCTTCCCATGCTCACCTGGACGGTGCTGTTGAGGCTGGGGGCGAGAGTGGGGGCAGAACTGGGGGCGGGGCCTGGGGCCCTGTCATCCCATGGCATTTGAGGGGGGTCCACCTGCATGGGGGGAAAAACAGGTTGTTACTGGGCAACAATCCCCACCCCCTCCTGCAGGCTCCCCCCTGCCTTTAACCCCTCTCTCTTCTAATATCTCCCTCAGCAAGAGCTGCTACCCCCAGGGCACTCCCCCCAGGTCAAGGCCCTGCCCCCAGCCCCCACCTCCTAGTTCCTAGCCAGGGCCCTGCCCTCAGGCTAAAGCCCCGCCTCCTGACTGGTGCTCCACCCCAATGCCAATACCTAACTTAAGGCCTCCCACTACAAAGCCGCGCCCCTTATGCCAAACCCCACCCCTGCCCCAAAGCCCCTCTCCCATGCCCATGCCCAGGCCCAGCCCCAGCCCCCTCACCTTGTTGGCAAAGTGCCGCAGGCCGATCTCGTCGCCGTAGCGCAACAAGGGGGTCCCGGGCAGGGTGAAGAGCAGCAGGTGGTAGAGCGGCAGGAGGCGCTCGGCCAGTAGGTCTGCCAGGTGCCACGACCCGCCCTGTGGAGGACATGCCAGTCAGCAGGGCCCGGGCGCCAGGGTTTGCGTCAGCTCTGGGAGGGCAGTGGGGACTTGGAGGGGGGTACAACAGGGCGCTGGGGAGCCTGGACGCCTGGCTTCTCTTCCCAGCTCTGACAGGGGCCTGGAGCTAGGGGTGAGTGGGGCCGGGTGGTGTGAGCAAGGAGGGGTCGAGAGCTCACCCCCTGGGCTTTCTCCCCACTCTGGGAGAAGGAGGGTTCTCTCTCCGCTCCGAGATGGAAGCAGGGTCTCATGGATTAAAGCAGCGGGGGCTGGGACCCTGGGTTCTCCCTGCCTTGCAGGGGGGGCTTGGGGAAGACTCTGGGGGCTGGGAGCCTGGCACCTGGGTTCTCTCCTGTGTCCTGGGGGTTGGACACAGGGTGTACAACCATCAGCTGACTGCCACACATTTTTCTGGCTAGTTCCCCTCTTTTGCAGTTGGGGTCCTAATTAAGAGACTGTTAATGGACTTCGTGCTTTGTTAAGTGCTGTGCAGTTGAGAGCAGGGCCACAGGGCACAGGTGAGGGGCTGCAAGGCAGGGCAGAGGGGGCTGAATGGAGGCCCCAGACCTAGAGACAAGCCTGGGTGAGGCATACACCTGTCTCTTTAAAACAGGGATCAGGTGACCAGAAGGGGGTGCAGCCAGGGAGGACACAGGCTGGGCTCCAGGGCCAGAGGCTCACTCTGGCCTTGAGTGGCTGGAGGGAGGGAGGTCCTGTGAGATCAGGTACCCCAGGGTTTGAGGGCAACTAGCTAGGAGTAGGGGTCCAGATGCCTGGGTTTTTCCCCAGGTCCCTGATGGGGAGGGAAGGGAAGGGAAGGGGCTCTGGTGGAGCAGAGCAGGGAGCCTGGGTGCTTCCCCCAGCCCAGCTCCCCAGGGCTCTGGTGGGGGCTTGGGATGGGAGCCTGGACACCCCGTTGCTGTGAGAAGGCTGGGTATGGGAGCCCAGGTGCCCGGGTTCACCTCTCCCATCCCCTCTCCCCTTCTCCCAGAGCCAGGCTGCTTGGGGTCTTTCCCCTGCCACTAGGAAGGGAGCAGCTTCCCATGGGTCAGAGCTGAAAGCTGAGCTTTTTGCCTGTGCCATGAGTCTGTTGGGTCAGGGATGTGGGGCGGGGGCAGGACTCACGCTCCAAGCCGGCCAGGCGGCCCCTGCAGCCTTGATGTAGTTGCTCACGGTCTCGGCCAGCTTCTCCCCCGTGGGCTCGGGGCCTAACTCCTCCAGGTAGGGGCTGACCAGCAGGTCGGCGCTGGTCTCATTCAGCCATACCAAGATGCGCCCTGGGTCCTTCTCCTCGATACCCACGACGAACACCCTGGGGTAGAACAGGGGAGGATGCCTGGTTCAGCCCAGAGCTCAGGAAAGGGAGCCTGGACACCTGGGTTCTCTCTCCTGAGCTAAGGGGAGACTGGCTAAGAGATCCCAGGTGTCTGGACCCCTTTCTGAGCTCAGGGAGCCCAGATGCCTGGGTTCTCCCTCCTCCTCCCCGTCACAGGGCTCTGCACTTGTCCCACCCCCATGCCACTCTGTGGGGTGCCCCCACCCTTGGGACCCACCTGGCGTTGCCATTGGCACTGGCTTCCTGCGTGATGTTGTGCAAGTCGGCCACAAACTGGGGGTCCTGGGGCGGGGAGAAGAGGAAGGAAATGCATGGACCCATCCCCCAAAATCCCCCACCCCATGTGCCCCCCAGCTCCCCCATCCCCT